ATATATGTCAGGAAAAAGGCTCCCACAAATACACCGTCATATAGAATCCTATGGAAAACATTCACCAGGCACAACCGCACGCCTTAGTAGAAGTAAGGCTCAGTCACATACCTTCCCGTTCGTGTCACAAAAGAAAGCACATCCGATACCCCTGGATTGGCGGCAGTGGCTGGCTTCCGTTTGTATTGTCTCCGTACCAGATGAGGTATTAAATCACCTGCGAACATAACAGTCATGTGATTAGATCGTCTCCAGCGACAAGAACGTCCTGTGGTTCGTCCCAAGGGCATGTGAAGGCAGGGGTTATGATGCCACGTATCTGTGGCTTGTAGATATGCTGCTCTCAGATTATACCTCCCACCATACTGATGCGTACGGTACCTATGTTTGTGGTGGTTCATATCGAGTCCCCACTCAAAACCTTGGTTTGAAAGTTCCTATGGAACTGTAGTAGCGCTTGTCAGCCCTCACCACACACTACAGACACATAACACATACCTTGCACACGACTCCACTCCGCGTGACACGGCACAGAGAGTGTTGCAACGATACGTGAAATTGCCTCAGCACGCACAAGTAAACTCTAATAGATACCTATATGGTGCCTCTTATTTAACACGCCTGCATGGCTGCGAACGTAACACCGTATTGGTTGTTGGCAGCCGACACATGTGTTTGACACAGTACACCAGGTGTATGGACGGTGTATTCACGTACGGGTGCGGGCACCTACCACAGGTACACATATCAGTCATAGCCTACCGCCTATAAGCAGCGGCCGCTCATTTAATGATGGCATGCCTGTGATAAACTTGCGTTAACCATCACTGCCCGATCAAAAACGAATTTTACACTAGTTTAAATCTACCTCTCTTCGTACGCACTGCATAGCAACGACACATGGCCACGACCAGAGCATAGCTGTTGCATTTAAGGCAACCTGTATGTGTCAGCAACAATGTAATCCCTACCCACTTGTGCATGAGGTACGAATGACGGTCTGTGAGAAAACTACCAGACAAACAGTGCATTCTCACAAGCTCCGAACCGGTAGTATTTTCGAGACCGTGCATGTCAAGTTATCACATATATAAACTCTACACAGGCACAACATCTATAGTACGTTTAAGACTGTGCATGCCAAGTTATCACATATATGTGTACCACATACACGCAGGCACAACATCCATTGTACGGTTAAAACTGTGCATGCCAAGATATCACATATTTGTATACCGCATTCATATGGCACAACATTTATAGTACGTTTATGATTATGCATGTCAAGATATCACATATTTGTATACCGCATTCATATGGGCACAACATTTATAGTGCGTTTAGGACTGTGCATGTCAAGATATCACATATTTGTATACCGCATTCACACAGGCACAACATTTACAGTACATTTAAGACTGTGAATGTCAAATCATCACATATATGTACACTCCACAAAGGTACAACATCTACAGTACATTCAAGACTGTGCATATCAAATTATCACATGTATTCATATATTTACACTGGGTACATTCACACAGACCCTGCAAATATACAACCCTAAGACTGCGTGCCCAGCTTGCCAGCACACACTACTCTCTCAGCCACAGCATCTCCCGTACCTTTAAGACTACTGATGGTCGTATCGGCTACAATGTAGTCAACCACCCACTTGCGCATCACATATAAATGGCAGTCCGTGAGATCGTTTCGCAACTGCACACGTGGCCATTGCGTGAACATGCGCCGTGATAGGTCCAGCTCTTCGTCTACGTCAGCTTCGGGCGTGTAATAAACCACGGTTTTTGTCTCGACATCCAACCCAATATAATCCTTGATCCCTGGTGGTTACCGCGCAGCACAGAAAAAATAAATTATGACACTGAGCCTGTACACGTGACTACTTCTGGGAAATGAAAAATGCTACAGATTTCAAACCCGGTACTAGACACGTGATTTCATTGGGTAAAAAAGTGCCACCGCTTTCATACATAAAACTGCCAAGGCTTCGATGCGAGCCAAGAACAAGTACGTGAGACAGATAGCATGCGTGTGCGTTAAACGCATACACGGCTGGTATACCTTTCGCATTCTTTTTGTTCTCTAGACCGCGTTCATGGGGAAGCGAGTCTGCTAGGGCCATGCACACATCAGCGTCTCTTATCCTCCACTCGTCTACCATGCTTCGGATATTGACATTGGCTACCAGGTCACAGCTCATGACGAGCACTCCTGCCTACACGTGATACAGCACATATATACACACACATACACACACACATACACACACACACACATGCACACACACACATACATACACACACACACACACATATATATATATATATATATATATATATATATATGCGTGTCCGTGAATACACCCATATATATGAACATATGGACAAATATTCGAAACAGCGCGCAAAAATCACAAAGGAAAGCACAATCGAGGAGTTGCAGTTAGTATGGTATGTAGTAAGACCACAGTCACTGTAATGCGCACATCTCTCTTTGGATACGAAGTACATTCTTTGTTGTTTTGGTGCAAGTTGGCTCAACATCAATCGACTAGATATATGTCATGTAGTTGAGTTCCCACATCAAAACGCGGGTTTGTGACATGACCACACGCGACTATAATATACTCTCCGTTCAGGTGTGTACCATACTCGTAGATATGACCTGTGTGAATGCCCCCATCTACAGTCATAAATGCCCCCATCCACACGTACAACGATGCCGAAAACTGTAGGACGCATACATAGCAACTGATATTTATACCAACCCAAATTTAAGATGACACATCACATGACAACTGGAACATATGCACGCACATGAATATGCGCTTGTGCTATATAAATGCCCCCATCCACACGTACAACGATGTCGGAATATCTGTAGGACGCATACATAGCAACTGGTAGTTACACCCACCCGTGTGTCTAATATGACACACCACATGACAACTGACTGAAACATATACACTCACATGAATATGCGCTTGTGCAGCGCGCAGAGCATCGGCGGTGCCGTTGACATCGTTATCAATCTCCACCACACGTATAGCCTTGGCGCTCTTGGACTCGTAAGTTTCGGCCAAGTATCGGTACAGATCATTGTGACCCTCTGTTTCTTTCCTGATTAGCACGATGATTTCTGCGGTGACGGAGACACGTCAGTAACGTCAGTAATGCGAAGCCTTAAACTTGAATAGATTTAACTTGTTTTAAAATGCGGATATGACACGGAATATAGCTCTGCATGTGCTTTGGAGCCCAATTACCGCTAGAGAGATTTGAAACAGGAATGTGGTATCACATTCCGATTTGGGTCGCAGATTTCAAGCATTGCTTCACGGTCCACAATAAAGTTTTTAAAACAACATGTGTGCACTCAGCTTTCCATCGAGCTATATATGCCAATTCCCAACTTTCTCTTCCTAAAACGTACAGTGCTATCCACACATGAACTATACCATCTCAAACTACACCATAAAAACAGCTTATAGGTCTAGGTTTTGCATAGGCATCCAGATTTGTGTCACAACCAGGTACGCGAATGACGTCCACTGTATATCATAACAGGGTTGTGAGGCACTACAATTACCTCAAGTATCAGTCATACCTTGGAAGCCGGCGTCTTCTAAGCTTTGTAGTGCGTACCAGATCATGGGTCTATTACCAACAGGCAGCATGGCCTTCTTCATCGACTCAGTCAGAGGATACATGCGCGACCCAGACCCACCCGCCAGAACAAGCGCTTGCAGCCCACAGGGGGCAATGGTACTACAAATACAGATATAAACACGGGTTAAAATTTTAAGAGTTTGATATGACGAGCATGGGCAAGAGAAAAGGAATGCTGCTGAGACAACGAAAATGAGAAGCGTCGTGAATGATGCACTGATTTGCATCGATAAATTCTCAATTTATATATATATATATATATATGAACATATACATATCATACAAAAAGGCAGACAAAAAACACACACTTATATATATTAGTATATATATACATACACATATACACATATATATATATATACATATATAAAT